TTCTATGATTCTATGATTCTATGTATTTTAATTTGTAGCTCATATCCACTGAAATATTGATGTTAATAAGAAAAGCCTTCCATCTAGTGACTCTTCAGTGTTGGCAAAAATAAAATAAGACAAAATATATTTACAGTGTAAGGGATTTCATTTTGGATGCATCATGTTTCCCTGTGCAAATGAAGATGAAGGTATAAAACTACCCCTTCAGAACAGCTTAGCTGTTTTACATGGAGTACAAATTATTTTCTAACCTATGAATGTTGCACATCCCTAAAGCTGCTCCCAGGCTGCTGTTCCATTATTTGGAATTGTATATGAGTGTCCCAAGAGGAAATTGCACTGGCTGTGGAGGATGAGCAAGGCCCAGCTTCAGTTTTCCACAATCCTTTTATTAGAAAAAGTGGTGTACCACAGGAACGACTGTTGGCTCAGATCACAGAAAGACTTTGGAACATTAAGTGTCCATTTTGCAGACATGAAAGCAGTATTCCCTTCCAATTTCACAAATTTCCCAGACTGTTATATAGGAGAAAAACAGTAAAGAGAACATGCCTAGCTAAATTGAAGCACAGCACTACACCTGAACTTCTCTTCTGTAACTGCCATTTTTAGTAGGCTGGACAGTCTTTTGCACTAATACAAATCTTGGATACAGGAAATGGGTTTGGTTCATCTTCTGCAAAATTCTTTGTTTGATAGAGTTGTTTTCTGGCTTTTTCCACAGAGAAAGTGGGAATAGTTGGTCTCCCTCCATTCCAACAGTATCAACAGAAGATGCTGTGTGGTCAGTGTGTAAGTAAAGATCTACAAATCTAACTTTTGTTACCCACTGCTGATAATCACTCACTACACATTTGTCCAGGAAGTCCTGTACAGTTAAATACAATATGTAAGAAAATAGCTAATATTATGGCTCCAAGTGCTCCTTTCCTAATTCCTATTTTAACAAAATACATTTGTTCTGTCATTCTGCAGTAAATGGTGTCATGTAGACTAACCCATGATCAAAAAACCTAAAATTATCCTGGTGACACCAGGCTCAGAGCAAGGTATTAATCTGCTGGCTCTTCCTGTTTCTTTCCTCATCATTCCCTGTAACTGGAAGGATAGCGGAGAACACTGCTTGTGCTCCTGAGCCCTTAACCAGTTGTCCCAAGGCCCTGAAGTCTCTCTTGATTGCCCTTGGACTTCTTGTTGCAACATCATCTCTGCCTCCCTGAAAAATCAGTACTGGATAATTATCTGAGGGTTGTACCAGGGCAGGAAGTTTTCTCTCCACATTTTTAACCTGGACCCCAGGGAGGCAGCAGATTTCCCCAAGTGTGCCCAGTGTGCATACTGGGCCTTCTTCTCCCTTCAGAAGAGAGCCTCCTGTGACAGTGACCTGTCATTTTTTCTTTATGGAAGCAGTTTTGATGTAGGGCGTAGGCTGACTGAACCTCAGTGACGCCTCCAAGCTAGAAGAACCATCGTCCTCATTGTTTGGTTCCACTTGCAGAGCCCTCACACCTGTTATGCAGGGTCACCTGGGAAGGTGGGGTAGTCACAGAGGAGACATGCCTGCTGCACCAGACAGTAACTTGTCGCCATTGCCCCCTGTCCCTTAAGTCACTGTGGTCAGCCAGGCGGAGAGAGGAGCTGCCCCGTACTGGCATAAGAGCAGGACATGTGGATGTTTTCAAAGAGATAGACTATATAGGCAATTCTACTCTATGTAGAGGAACATGGAGGCAAACAAAAACATTTAGCTGTATTAATCCGAGACTGGTTTAAAGCCCTGCTTGGGACTGGCACCTCGCCTAGTGATACAAACACCTATCATTGGCTGTTGTGTTTGTAGGAACAGTTCATGTCTTTCAGCATCTGCAACTGTTCCTAAGAAATTGATAGGACATGTGGCTTTGGACGTCCATGTAAACACAGCCATGTGCATACAGTCTTGAGGGCATAGAAAGGTCTAAGAAAACCCACCATTAGTTACGCCAGCACATACTGTGTAGCCTCCTCTCTCCAGGATTATTACATTATAATGTGTTTGTCATTGCTCTTACTTTGTTCCCATTAACTTGAATTCACTTTGCACTTCAAAAAATTGACCTCTATTAACATTTTTGTCTTTGAAGAGTGTTACAGAAATCTCTCCATGTCCTTCTTCAGCTCCACCACAAGTTAAACAAGAAAATATTGTGATCTGGCTTTAGACAATGCAGGATCTGCTGCAGGTCTGTACTAAATATTTTTCCTTTACCTTGTCAAAGTCAATCAAGCAATGACCAAAATACATGCTGTTTTGAATGAAGTACGTGTTTAATCTTTTGCTTATGTTTTACTTGTACACCATTTAAACTTCTCTTGATCTCTCATCAGACTCTGTGATTCCTTTAGAGCTTGTGTTGTTACTGTAGTTGTGCAATATGAAAAAAATGAAAAAAACTTCCTATGCATTGCTAAAAAAGTTTTAAGAATAACACAGTAAAATCATGTCAAAAGAAATTGTTCAATATTAGCTAACACACACAATGGGATTTTAAAAGTATTTTACATCTGGTATTCTAGCTTATCTTTTAAAAATTGCTGCATGTTAGGTTTCCTTGATATATGATTCTGAAGGAGGTGAGAGGGTCATATCTGGTGATGAACTACTTGTATGAACAACTCCTTGGAAATACATTAAATTGATATATCCATGCAATCTTTTTCTAAGCTTGTTATTACAACCCTAAATCACTGATTTTTGTGGGTTAGTAAAGCTCCTACAAAATTCAGGCATTCCCTAGTTCATTGATACCAGAACTGATGCAGAGAATTCCACTAAGATCCTTCTGAAAACTTTTGATTACCTGACTTGATCTGACTTTTCTTGTTTGTGGCACTTACATAAACATAGAGCTCTCGTGCTAGAGATTGTGCAAAATAACATGAAGAATCTGTTGGGCCTTCCTTTTCTTTTTAAGTCCTGGCTGTAGTTTCTGTGAACAGTCAGTATTGGGCATAGCCATGTCTCACAGATTGTAACAGGAAAATGGGGTTGTCCGTGGCATAATTTCCTTCGTGACATCATGTCAGCTGTGCAAATTTAACAATCCCTTTCCCAGTTTTAATTACAGAAGAAAGAAATTACCTGCATTGTAAACATTAAGTAAAATAGTCACAACTTTTTAATTAATTTCTAGCATTTCACAACTCCATTAGAAAGGCTTGCAAATATAATTAGGTCAGATAAAACCACTGAATATACTTGGATGAAATGCAATAATTTGACCAAAGACAGAAACAACTCCCCTGTTATGGGCTGTATCTGTTAATACAAATGGGTCCATAGTGGCTCCAACTTAAACACAGTAAATGCAGTGTATTAATTGAACCAGGAAGATTACTGATATCCTTGGGATTCAGACTTGTGTTTCTACAGATTCTGGCTGATGCTTACAATATTAAGCACTTGCTTCATGTCTGATATAGCTTTAATATTTAGCTCTGTTGAAATAACTAATGTGAAATAAACTTTTTTTTTTTTATAGTGATGAAGTACAAATAGAGTTTCCAAGTCAGAACACTGCAGTTCATATCATTAAAATTTAATGAGTTATCACTTCCCTTGCTTTTGTTGCTGTGAAAAAGCAGCCCCTTGTAGTGTATTCCTTTGCTTAATTGCTAACAGTTTCTCCAAAGTGTGTCAGTGACATTTACCTCACCTCTCTAAGATACTTTCACCACAAGTACATCTGCTTGTTTTCAGACACGGAAGAACTACAACACCATCATACCAGAGACTGTAAGTGGAAGAAATCAATGGAAATCCAGCCTTTTAGCCCCTGCTGCTGTGATCATTAGTCACTTTTCCTTACACTGGGAGGAAAAAAAATAGTTTTTAAATTAATTTCAGTAGTGAATGCTAAACAGGCATTAAGAAATGCACTTACTTCTCTCTGTTGAATATGATGAATTCTTTCCTAACGGTTTCCAAGCACTGCTGCAGGTGTACGTTCTTTAAAAAAGAGCATTAATAAGTTGATTAAAAAAGATGGAAAATCACAGACAAAAGCCACAACAGAAATGATACTGAACAAAAAGGCTTATGAATGAATACAATCAAAAAGCATTTTGAAGACTCTTCAAAAGTGGGCTGTGACAGCACAATCAATCTTTCTTTCTTTCGGAAGAAGTTCCCCACAAAGAATTCCTGAGGATTTTTACATTTGTTACCTCTGAGAAGAAAAGTTTGCATGAGTGTTCAAAATCATTAGGAGCAGCAACAAATTTTATAAAACCTCACTGAAATGAAAATTCAAGTCTGGAAAAATAGTTATTTCTTAATCTTCTCAGAAGTTTCAACCATTTATACAATGGGTCTTTCTATGTGGGACACATTAGTCAAGACTGCAAGAAACAGCTTTAAAACTTTTATAAATAACAAGCTTTTCACTGCATACTTTTCATTTTTCGTACTAGCAGTGGATAAATACTCCTTATAACTCTCTGTCCTTGTGTGGGAAGCGTATTTGCCAACTGGCAGCACTTTTCATACGTTAATCGAGCATCTGTGACAATCTTAAAAATAATTACAACTTAAACATGCTGTTAGTATTTGTCTGAAATAAATGGTTGTTTTCATTTTGCTTTGCAGATGGTTTATACTATATGTGAAATGACAGACACAGAGGTTGAATCTGTTTTCAGAGATGATACAACTGAACTTAACTGAGTTAGTCTATTAAAAAGTGTAAATGAAATACCACTGATTGCAGACACGGTCCCCAACTTACCAGTGGGCAGGTTTCCTTAGCTCCATCTTTGGATTTGTTTTTGGCAAGTCGCTTTTTCTTTTTATGGAGAGGCTTGGACTCTAAAATCATTTCTTCAAGTTCAAATGTAGGATCACAGTTCAGTCTTCCTTTCTGGTACAAAAGGATTCAAAGTTACTCTGTGAAGCATCATTGTGGTTTTTTAGTTTGCCTGGCAAGGCACTGGCAGTATTAATAATGATCCAGCTGCCCAACCACATCTGAAAAATGAAAACTGTCTTTTTAGGCCTGGAGTGATGCTTAAAATTTAAATAAGGGAGGTAAGATAAAAATCATATTATAAAGCAATTATGAAGAGTTAGATTCTCTTCCTATGACAACATTTAGGATGAACTCTTCCTCTCATATTTAGGGATAAGAGCTAGGGTATGGCCAGAAAATATATGGCTCAGCTGAACCCAATAGATTTTGAAAAAGTCATGACTTGGCATCCTAATTACTGGATCAGTGTTTTGCTACTCCTGTGATCAGAATAACGTGAGTTCCTTTCTTCACCTCATTCTGTCAAAGCATTTTAAAAAAAAATTGTAAACAGTTTGAAGTGTGTGTTAGAAGATCTTAAAAGCAGCCTGTTTTCCTCTGGGACTTCTGTGAGTTCAATCACACCATTGTCACCACCAAGGTGGAAATACTAAGGTAAGTCATATATAAATGGCAGACATAATTTAGTAACCAAAGACACTAAGCAGTAAAAACACATCAGAAACCACTTAAATAGCTTGTATGTATACTCCAAGTATAATATTAAGTATAAAGTATAATATTAAGCTCTTTGATGCATTTCCTGCATAATAACCAGTCAGATTTAGTAAAATTTATTTATTTTTTGTTAATGGAGATCTATAGTTTATTTATATTTACTTATAAATAAATAATTCTTTATGTTTGATCAATATCAGTTCCTTTCTTGCAGGAATTTGAAAAATATCACTTTAATTCCAGAAACTTGAAAAATATCACTTTAATTCCAGAGCTTTAAAAATGAAAGAAAATTACATTTAAATAATTCCTTGCCTCTTTATCAAACATTTAACAATACAAAAAAACCCTACTAACAATTTATGACTCCAAGCTGAGTATAAAGAAACTAGCTAAACAGCAAAGAAACACATGTACTAGTTAAGTAAGAATTATGTTTATAGAATCAAACTACACAGGGAGAAACTAAATGATGGGACATTCCTGGCACAGGATTCCCGCATGCCCTCTTACCTGCAGAAGGCAGGCAAGCTCCTGACGGTAACAGCAAGCTGTCAAAAAGTTTTAAAACTCTCTTATAAAACTCTCCCCGGGTCACAGTGTGTGTTGGCCCCAATTCACCCTCTCACCCAAGCCTGAAATACAATAAATATTTTTTCGTGTGGCCCCAGTTAATCAGTGAAGGTTTTGCTGGTGCAACAGAGAGAAGAGTTCTTGGCAAATGCCTGGCCAAACTTGGTCTCATGAAACAGTAAAGTTTACTGTAAAAAGAAGTGTTGTGCTAGAAAAGATGCTTTGAATCTCACCTTCACTGTTTTTTTCATCTTTATTTACAGTTGGATTAAAAAAAAAAGAATATAAACAAACCTTGGTGTGCTTAAAATGTATTATTTGGAGAAGAATTATGGTGCAATATGACTGAACAAAGTGGAGAAGCATGTTAACACTACAGTCATGGTTTTTTATTCATGGCCCTCAAATTCATTTAACTTACAAATGATCAAAATGGAAATATCCATAAAATACCAACAAAAGGGAACCACAGTAAAAAAGAAATGAACAGATTCCCTCACAGAATGTTTTAGTGTAGCAAACTGTCACAAAGGAAATAGGTCAATCTTTGGAACACTACTTTTTAAGTGAAAAAGGAACAGCACACTGGGATCCTAAAAAGTTTTGCAAATGTTATTCAGATGCCTAACTTTCACAGCAGCAACAGTCTTCTTGTCTTCTTGGTATTTTTGGCTCAGAGTTAACTCTGACAATTATTTGCTCTAACAGATGAAGTGCAAAGTCTGGAAAAAAATGTTTTTTGAAAGGGAACAAAAAGTGAAACAAGGTTAATTATTTTTTGTTGTGATCTAATGAAATGGGCCAAATTTCCCCTTAGCTGTGACAGACCAAATGAAAGCAGAATCCAAAGTAAAGCTTCTGGGAGAAGAAAATCACTGAAGAGCAATAAATGCAAGCGTAAACAAGTGAAACAGCAGTGATAATTAAAGCCAGAATTTGCAAACACATTTCACCTGGAATATCGACTTACATTAGGAACAAAGCCTGGGGTCACAGATTTCTCTAGAACAGCATCCCAGTTGACATCAGCTAGGTATGGAGAGCTTTGGATGTCTGCAAGGCTTGAGAGACGGCACTCCGGGTCCTTAGTGAGGAGCTGTGATCAAGTACAAGGCATTTTCTGAGGGACTGGATGCCATATAAAAGAGTAAATGTACCACACGCATAAATCGTGTGACACAAGTTCGAGTAAGAAAATGGCTAAGGAATTTTCTAACAGGTCCTAGAAGTCCCAGTCCAAAAAAGAAAAATAATAACTCATAGCATATGAGTATCATTTAATTGCCACCAGATGGCTGTTGCAGGCATAAAGTGTATAAATATATTAGTAGCAAAAGTCTGTTTACAAATACACAGGAGTCTATGTGACACAGAACATCAGTTCAATGTCACCCAACAATTTGGTTTTTTTTCTTAAATTTACTGAAAGATATAGTTACACTCTGCATCCTGGCAACAATTAAAATTAACCACCTCATTGCTCCATCTGTCAAAAAAAGACTCCTCATTGCTGCAGAAGAAATTGATCTTCTATTGGTCTGTTCACACATTTACAAATATTTCCTGTTTAAGTATCAGTACTGATGATATGGAATACCCAAAAGAGACAGATGATGGCCAGAAACTTAAACCAAACAAAAACCTGGGATTTTAGGAAGGCAGCAAGTTCCAGGATCATGATGCATTCAGAAAGAACCCTGTCTTGTAGCTTAGTGACATTTACAGCAAAGTGGCTTGACTTTTGTTTTTGCAACTATAGCAACACGGGACAGGGAGAGATACAACTCTTTTCATTTCTAAGCTCCCTGTCTGGAAACTGTGGCAGAAATTCAGAGGTCAGAGTGGTCCTTCCTTTCCCACATGGACAACCAGGGCTGGAGAGAATGGGGCCAGGGCACAGAGTGGGAATTATTGATCCCCAAAATTTTACTATCACTAGCGAACCATTTTTAACATAAACAAAAAGATTATATTTCTATTTATTTGAGGCTGTGAAAAGCCTGAGTCTAAGCCTAAGAACATTTCAGCTTCTCAAGAGGAAATAACGCACCACTCACATTCAGAAAAGTCTAGGAATAAGCACTGCTTTCTTATCTTTGAAATTTTGCCTACCTAATGTGTGGGCTTGTCTGATGCCTCTGCATTGTTGGAGGAGCTTCTGGAAGAGGAGAGAAGAGAGGGCAGAAGGTGTTTGTGCTTTCTTACCTTTTTCAGTAGTGCTATCATGCCCTTGCACCATGCAGATGAGTAGTGGACTCTTTCTATCTTGAACATGTTGAGTACTTCATCAATGGGGGTGGCTGAATGAATTTCATAGGGCCTCTGGGATAAAGTTAAATCAGTATCAAGTCAGCAAGAATGGATAAGAGAGTGCAGACAATTCACATTTTCCTAGCTCTGTATTGTTTATGCTGGAAATATCAAAAGCACCAAAACATCTTATAACAATTTTGAGGCTAATCCTTCTTTGCATGTGGGCTTTTCTTTGGTTATAATAAATGTAATTACTCATTGATGCGTTTCCTCTGCAAATTTTTCTCTCATGAAAAGAAGTAGCAGTTCAAATAGGATGGCTGAATAGTTTTGTTCCTGGGGCATTCTTTGTGAAATGTGGATTATTCACTATTTTTTACTTGTAGTACTAGAATGTTCTTCTGATCTAAACTGACAAAATGGAAAAGTGGTGGCTGAAGGGAGCTTTGTCATCCTGATTTTACTGACTAGTAGACAGAGAAATTACAAAAATCTGTGTAAGAACCACAATAAAAAAAAAAGACCAGAAATCCCAGTCTTTCTCCTTTGCACTTTTTGAAATCTACAATTAACTCATTACATGGAGCTATGGATTATATGGACCTGCTGTCCTGTGTTTGCAGTCCCTAAACTGTTCTATAGGTGAAGAGAAGCCCCAGGCTTCACAGAGCTTTGTTCATTAAGATTACTGAGATTTGTCTTTTATTAAATCATAGAATCATAGAATTATTAAGGTTGGAAAAGACCTCAAGGATCATCAAGTCCAATTGTCAACCCAACACCACCTGTCCCACTAAACCATGTCCCGAAGCACATCTACATGTAGCATTTGGAAATGCAACTACTATATATGAATTTATATTCTTATTAATTATTGTGCACATATTTTTTAAAGACTTGTATTTGTGAAGCAAATTGTTAGAATGATGCTCTATGCTGACGTATTTTGTCAGACAAGGACCGACTGTAGATTGCTTGTGAATTAAGTTGTACCCAGCAGGTGATAAACGTGATGCATGATCTGCAGCCAAATGCCACCGTCATAGCAGCAATGTGCAAACCAATGTGTATAATTCATGCACAACATAGAGTTACCTTCTAATCCAATATCCTCAACAGTAAAGGGCACGCATGCATTGCCTTCGCTAAGAACTGAATCATCCCTTGAATTTTGCTAGACTGTACTGTTACAAGATTATAATTTAAGAATATTTCTGGGTGTTAGTTATCTAATCCAATAGTGAGTTAGAGCCACTCTTCATAAAGGCCCAGAAAATATTCTTATTTTGAGAAGATACATGCACACATTTAACTCTGAACATGGGTATGAAATTAAGTCCATTCCAAGGCATTGGGATGTTCTAAAAATAAATCCAAGAACTGCTTAAGTCTTTTTGCTTTGATTCACATTCAGTTAGTCTGTTGTCATTTAGTTATATCACGTCCATATGAATTCAACAGGACCTAAATGCATGCTCTGAATACCTAATTTTATTGAATCTGGTTCAAAACTCTCATTTGAAATAATCTGTCATATGCTTTTCCTTCTGCCATAAAACAGCTACTAAAAATGAAAGGTTGACATTCTGTCTGTTGTCAAGAAGTAACCTACTGCTGATTTAGACTTGATATAACAATGTGACCAACATGATTGTTGAGCCAGAATTTACACCCATTGTTGGAAATGGTGATTTATCTTTAAAAATAACAACTTTAAGGAATAATGAATCTTTGAAAGAAGTAAAAAGTGAGAATGAAAAGAAGAAAGTTTTTCTGTTAAGGATGTTTCTTCACATGCCTTTTCTTCACCAGAAAAATCCTTTAAAAACTTACTTTATTTTAAATTTTACTAGCATTATGCAGTCTTCCTTGTTTTTCTTTAAGATATGCAGAGATTTTAAAGATTGTTGTTAGTTAATTTGAACTATAAATACTCAAAAAAATGGCCATTATAAGCTTGATCTTTTGAAGTCCTTCACACCCTTATCTCCTACGTTTTTCAGCTATTCAATCCACTTGAGGGTCAGATCCCTTCTGTCTTATTTTCTGAAAAAGGAAAAAAAAATCTGTTTTGCTTTTGTTCATAATCTTTTACCAAAAACCATTGTAAACTGTCCACATTATCATGAAAGTTGGAGTCCAAGAATCCCACCTACTACCTCTTTCCTTCACCTTGTCTTTGTTGAGGGTACACAGAGTTATTATAGTATTTTAGCAGTCGTCTCTAGCTTAGGAACACACTGATGTGTCATGGTATGCATCATGCAGTTTAATTTCATGGACTTTGGGAAAAGATTGAAATTTGATGCAAAGCTTCAGATATTTACTTTTTTTTAGTTATTAGATCTTTTTTTAACAACAGGCTGAGGAGATAAATGTGCCTGCAACATACTGAGAAATGCTAGCACTACTGTGGATAACCAAAAACTGGTCCAGACAGCTCTGTAGCAGATGCAACATCCTCCTGCAGCTACAGCCTTGTTTCCAGCAATGCATTGTCTTGGCTGCCTGGCAGTGGACAGCAAGGTGTGAGAATGGCTGCAACACCTTGAGCACCCTGAGCCTCCTCTGAGGACTCTTCCATCTGATAACAGTAGAGGAAAATCAAAACAAAAATTCGGCTCAATAAAAAGCAACACATTTTTATTTAGCTCCTCTTGAATTCAGGCAGGCAGTGTCACATGTTATGTACAGCTCAGAGGTGGAAAATGATTGAAATTTCTAATGCTCCTCACTTCTAATGATCCTTCCTTCCTGCCTGCCTGCCTTCCCCCTGCACTAGCATGCACCATGCTCCAACTGATGAACATCACATCTCTGGGTGGCTCTACCTCCTCTTTCCCCAGGACTGCTGTAGCAGGAGCAGGTGGGCTGCACCAAGCGCCCACGCCTCTGCTCTGTGGCCATAGGGCTCTCTTCTGGGCACTGCAGTGCTGTGGGAGCGTGGTGGAGCAGGGGCTGCCTGCCTGCAGGTTTAGCTTGCAGCCTGGTAGGTGCAAGCTGCTTCTTTGCAGCCATCTGCGCAGGGCTGCTGCAGCAGATGGAGCTTCAAAGCTCGTGGCTGTTGCAGGCAACAGCATGCCTCAGGTTAAGCACATTTCCTGAGTTGCTGCTACTTCTTTTGCCATCACTCCTGTCAGTTTAGGCCTTGTCTACGCTAGAAAAATTTAGAAATAGAGTTCAGGAAAAAATACACCTTTTGCTCGTCCACACAAATCATGGGCTGCCAAACCACCCTCTGGCTTGCTCAGCAGGCAAGAGTTGCTCTTCAGGAGAAAACAAGCAGCTGGCTTGGTTGGCTAGAGCATGGACAGATGGCAATGTTTTTATTTAAAAGAAAATTTCATTCAGTCTCAGCTTTGCTTTGTCTGTAGCCAGATAGACTTATTCAGAAAAGACTGTAGAGATGCTGGCAAATGGATACCATTCTATACAATCCTTCATTTATTAAAGTGACTAGGTAACTTTTGTGATTAGTCTTGGGACTTCAGCTTTCCTTACACAATCATTCATTGTGCTGCTTTCTTGGAGACACTCATTGGTGAAAGGGTTGATATAAAACCAGCAGGATGTTCTTTTAATTTCTTATGTGTGCAGCTAGTACTACCATCTGTGACTAGGGTTGAGAACGTATTATGCTTCTCACTGCCAGAATTTAACTGTTCAGGTTAAAATTTTCCATCCAGGGAAGAATATAATCTTAAAAAACTCAGTAATTTTTGACAATGATGGTAGAGAAAAATTGCAAAGTTGTGGGTTTTTTTACAGGTTTTTAATGCTCCTGTGCTTTGAGATCAAGGACTGAGATTTAGCATGGGAAAGATCTTTGTACCAGGAGCACGACTTTTGCCATTTCTATGGAAATACAAAATAGATTGGCCAAGTTTTAGGTCTTTGAAAAATGTAGCTTCTGGATTGAAGTATCAATGTGCAGGCACTCTGAAATGTAGTTTTTTAATCTAAAAATGGGAATAATAATTGTTCTTTATTTCTAGTTTCCTTTGTTTGCCATCCTTCCTGAAACTGTGAGATCTTTAGGGGATGGATTGCCTAGCAGGACAGGGTAGCAGTACTGCCTTAGTGTCATATGATAACAAATATTTCTTCCTTAAAAACAGCATACTGCACTGCAATAAAATCCTCTTTCCAAATAAGAATTAAAAATTAAAAAAAAAAAAAAAAAAACAGCTACTTTAGATATGTATCCTGAAGTAGTATCTAAATTACTGTTTTCCTTAGGGAATAGTAAATATTGAAGCAACCAACTTCAATCCTTTGAACCAAAATGGAAAAGAATTTTCCATTATCTTCTGTGATATTTGACCATGCTCAGGAAGATTTTTTCATTATGCTTATTCACATAGTTGATTAGATAAGTAACAAGTGCACTGGCAGATAAATATTTTCTGTAGTTTAGCCAAGTATCTTAGGATATTACACTAGCTCTTTTAAGGTATTAGCCAAGAGAATAAAAAATATAATAAAGCCTGAAGTAACTCAATTTCTATTTGGAAAAAATATCATTGTTTCCAATTCAGCATTGTGGAGAAGCCACTAAAACATTAGGCCTTTCCTCGGCCAAACTTAGGCAAACTTTCATAATGTTTCATAATGAGAGTGGGATGAAACTCTCCCAAGAGTGTTTCCAGCTGGGAAAGACCCAGGACAGCATTCCTGACCTTAACCACAGCCTTGACCACTCAAAACGAATCATGAAAGGTGCACTCAGGAGCACTGCAAACTCTGGGACTTCTGTCAGTCAATATGTTAGATAACAAGACCCATTGTTCTTACCCAACCCCTCAGTAATTCATATGCTGTAATTCCTAGCGACCACCAGTCTACTGGGTATGAGTATCCTGGACCTCCATCCATAAAGGCCTGGAAGACTTCTGGAGCTAGAACAATAAATCAAATTTAAAAAATGCATTATGTTAAGGTTAGACTATGGATCATTAATGTTGACAGCTGAAAAATGAATAAGGACGCAATTAACTGGAATTAAATACATTTGTAAGTGTAGTATTTTCAAGATGCAGTTTCAGTGCTTTGGTTTGCTGGCAACAAGGGAGATTCACTGGTCAGGGCTTTTCAAAAGTCAATAATTTTATATCTTAATTATTACCTGGTCCGTTTAAGTTTTATGTTTTGTGAATAAAAGTAACTAATAGAAGGGGAATACCTGAATTGAAGCTTGACTTGGAATACTTTGGGTAACGCAAACATTTGCAAGCAAAGTGAGTCTGTGATTGATGGAAGTGTTGAACATGGCAAATCTCACCCTTATTCTACATTTGTATAGAATTAATCAGATGGGTTTTAAAGGTATTCAACATAAGAAAATGGCAATTAAATACAAATCCTGACACTGATTGTACACTGTGAGAAACTCGTCATGACTGGAAGTAAACACACTGTCAATAAGTAATGAATTCCATAAAAATAACTTCGGGGGGGGGCAGGGTGGGGAGTGGGGAAAAAAGGTCTTTTCAAAACAAGGATCTAGTTGGCTAATTTCATCAAGAAAAGCATACTAAATAATGCCACTGTAGTTTCTTCAGAAAACCATATATAAATAAGAGAGGATATAAAATGAAATGAAAAGTCAGTCATGCTTTTCTAATTATTTCACAGCAGAATCTCAGCACACTTTTTGAAAACAATACTTTCCCTGAGGATTTTCTACAGAGCACTATCAACAACCATAACATCATGCTAGATTACAATTACCGTGTGAGCCTCTTCTGGCCATGATACTGCGTCCAACATAGCACATTACCACCCTATTACTATTGCATCACTTTCTAATGGGCATCCTACAATGAACAGTGTAACCTGGTCACACTTACTTCTGACTGGCAGTTTGGGATTTGACTATGTATGGCATTTAGAGAAGCACCTTTAATTAAAGGAAAAGCATTCCATTCAGAGGAGTGTTTGGAGTCCTGGCATTATGGCTGGCAACCTAATAATTTACAACTCCAGACCTGACTTCAGAAAGTCTTAAAGAGCCGAACCTAGTAGGGGATTTTGGCACCCATGAATTAGGTACAGCAAAACCCTAATCTGTAGAATAAAAAGCAATGAATGAATGAAAGTGGTCCTATACTCCTTGCCCAGCAGGGCCCTCTCTAAATAAACATTTTTGCCAGAATACCTGTGTTTGGAGAATAGCTGACCAGTGGATCTCTGACATAGGTAAGTTTGTGCTGTGATGCAGTATGGCATGAATCAGCAATGCCGTAAAAGTCATCACACTGAGTTAGCTCTGTCTCACCTCCAGATAATACAGCTCCACTTGGTATGCTATACCTTCATATGTACTTCTTGTTTATATGCTGCTGGGGATCTGTGTAGGCACAACTTACGTGTATGCAGTCTATCACATAGATTCTAAAAGGGTAGGCAGGGCTTCTTGTGTTACTTTAGTGGATTGGTGCACCTAAATTGCACATCAGGCACTAAAGTCATATTTGAATATCACCATAGGCACCTTGTAGAGAAGGTTTGCTTTATTTAGCCACATTTGTTATGGTTTTTGCCCACTGTGCCTAGATGATGTATAATATCTCATTACAGAAAATAGACTTCGTGGCCTTTTTACTGAGCTATATAGGTATAGTATTGGTTTCACTTTCTTTTATAGCTTTAACATTGTAATAACGCAATGGGTCACTATCTGATTTCTGTGAGGTAGGGATGAAAGTACTTTATGGATGTAACCTACAACGTTGCCAGAATGGTGCAGCTGTTTTGCTAATTCAGTCACTGAATTATCCATTTCTATTTTATTTGCTTGTTCTAACAGCTTCGAAGTCAACTCATCTGACATTAAGCACGTCAGCAGAAAATGCTTCCTTTTGCCCACTGGCCCTGGTGTTTGGAAGTTCTGTTTATTCATCTTAAGCTGATGGCATCCTTAGATCAGAAAATGGGCAGTTAGGCTCCTGATTTTTAAAGCTGATAGCCCCTTTTCCCCTGCTTTAGCAGTACTATTTACCGTCCAGCTGGACTACCTCTGCATTTAGTCAGCTCCAGTGAAGCGTTTGTAAGCACCCACTTTGCAAGATGAGGGGGGACTGACAGAAGATGCAATATGATTTACAGTACCCTACCTACAGGTTTTTTTTTTTCAGGGTGAAATCTCAAGCCTTCTGAAGCCAAAAGACCTCTCCCCAGTTTGTCAAGGCTGTTAAATACCAATCTCACAGTAAGGTTGTGGATAATGTGTCTAAAAGCCTTTCTGAGCTGAGACATTAGGTGCAAACGAAGGCCTCCAAGCTGTAGGGCAGACTTCTGGAGTTTGCCTTCTCATTCAGAAACATAGCATGATTTTACAGAAAGACAACAGATCCTCCAAGTGATGGGGTTAGCCAAGCTCAGAAGAACTAGAGCCGCGAAATACAGAACATAACATTAGGTTTTGCTGCAAGAAATAATTATGTTAGAAGAACCAATTTGGAGTGCAAACTGGCTAGGATAAAAGCAAATAAGAAATGTGAAAGGAAAGATAAAATTCTACATTGATTTTCTTAGGATTGTTATTGAAATAGACTATCTGTAATCTTTTAAAATTTGAATTTGATCTCAGTCTCAGCTTGGACAACCATCCTGCAGCCTGCTGTTCTTCCAAAGGATAATAAGATTTGAGCTTGGCAGCTTGGAGCAAGGACAAGCTCACACATCCTCTCTTATCATAACAGATTTAGGATGAGGGAAGGCAGTAGAAGTTTGCATGGTGGAAGCACAGCTTTTAAATAAGATAAATCAAGTAATAGCAAGTCTAGGAGCAAGAATGAATTCAAAGACAAGTAGAGAAGTGATGCAGTTGGTAGGTCTTATAGGTCCTCACAGCTCCCCATGAAAAAACATCTTTGACATGATGGAGAACTGCTTTACTAGAGCTGCCCAAAAGAGTGCCTTCAACAGTAGCAACCTGGTCCAGCCTCACTGCTTACCCTGCTTTGAGCAGGAGGTTGGACTAGAGAGTCCTGAGGCCCCTGCTAACATGAATCACTCTACAATCTTGCAATGCTAGTGAAGCTCAAGCAACTACCTTCTCCCAGTGCATCTGAGTGGGGTGGTAAAGGGGTCTAAGGCCAGAAGTCTCAATGGGACATTTACAGCTTCTTCCTCTCAGCAGTCATCATGAACCGCATGGGCTCTTCACCTCTGCTCAGACAGCTGGAGAACCTGTCACCCAAAGTACTGGGGACTTTAGAAAGTTTGGATCTCAGAAGCAATGCAGTCTTTTCGTTTGGGGGATTACACTTCATGTGGGGCTCAAGTGCGGTCCAACACCTTTCACACAAGGCTTTGGTAACTACAAAGACTGAGCGTTTCAGAACTAACGCCATTCCAAGCTGGGACATCTGTGCTAATCTTAACAGGGCAAGCAATAAAATCAGAAGTGTTTATGTGGCTTGTGTGATAACCAGTAAATGCACATATTTAACCTCAGCAACTCACAAAGCTAAAAATCCTCTGATGATTTTTTTTCTTTTCTACACCTATATTTTTCTTTTAATAATGTACTTTCATGCTTTCATTGTTTGTCTGCTTTGATTTCTTGAGAAGTGACATAAAATGAACCCACCTTTGCGCTGCATTAAGTGTGCTTCAGTACATTCCTTGGTTGTCTCTAATATGCATTCCCAGTTAATGTTTTATTTTTCCAACTAATAAGTTAAAATAAATAATCTCCAGACCTCTGTCTTTTGATGCTTCTGCACTGTATCTTTCTAGCAACACCATATCATTGGAGACTGTAGGAAGTAAATAAATGGTTATTTCTCTTTAAAATAAAACCATACAGGAGAACAGCTAATAAAAAATTGAACCTGAAAGCAAATCTAGGAGGTCTGCATCCATCTCACAAGCAGTGGCTCTCGGGGATATCCATACTCCTATTCTGTGGGTTTAGCCATACTTGGAGCACCCAATAATTTTGTGAAAGACTAATTTCTGACAAATCAATTCATATATGTACCTATTCACTGAAATTGTCATAGCAGTCAAATGATCTACAGTGTAAATGATGTAGAGGATGCATCTCATATTGTATGCATATTGCCCTAAAGATCTGTAAAAAAAATCAAGTACAAAACTGAAATTTTACTTAACTGGTTGTTAATTTGTGGAATATTGTCAGTATCTAACAATATGATTCATGAGCTTGAAATAAAAGAGAATAACAGCGTAAGTGCAAACAACACTGAACTTGGGGTTCACTACTTTTTCCTACTGTAAAAGAGCATTTTGCACACAGGATAAAAAACTTTTAAGCAGGGTTTCTAAAAATCTGCTGAGTATTCATGGGTATCACTTAACTCCATAGTAAAACTATAAGTGCTCCAGGTCTCTGAAATTCAGGACATTTTAATTTAGTGCCCAGTGGTGAGTTTGAAAATGCTGTCCATGATGAAATAGTCAATTTGAGGTCTGTCACATGGAATGGTTGGCACAGAGAAGAGCTGTTACTCTTTTTGATGGAGCATACTGATTTAATCATGAAGATAATTCATCAGACTAAATAATAAAATAAAGAGCTTGGAGTGGCTCTGATACCAATACTAAATAATACAAGGCAGCATTTTTTTTCTGATGAACTGATTTAAGTTTCACTTCCTTAGCAAGAAGCTAATCAAAGAATGCCTGGTGTACTTGCCTACCACTATGCGGGAGACTGCCAAGTGTTGATGAAGAAGCTTACAGAGTTATTACTTACTTTGAAACATCACCAACTTCCCTAGGCTGCTTTGAAATGTTGCAAAATTGTTGAAAGGGCAAGTGCAGTGAGATGAACGCATTAGACCCTTCTTCAAGTGGCCTTTACTACATACTAACAAATCAGTATATTTAAGCAATAATTTGCAAGTGAGTCTTGCAAGATTGGTTA